TTCTCGCCGTTTTTTCAGTTTTGTGATGTGTACAACCCTCTCTACAAGCCCCAAAAAGTCATTTCGTGTTAGGGGTGGTGCGACTAGAATAAATCCCTCTTAGAGCCCACTATTTTTTTTGTTTTTTTGAGAAATGTACGTATTATGCAGTTGTTCCGCTTATTTCAACGGTGTTCACATGAGGCGATTTTACAGGCAATTTTAGAGGTTGAATCAAATTAGCTACCCCAGCAACTTCATTGGAAGGGATTAGTTGAAAAGCTGTTCACACCAGGCAATTGTTGCTTTCAACTAATGGCCCTATTGGGTAAGGTGACTGGTAGCCGATGGGCAACCATACACTAAAATTCGCATTACGTATGACAAGTGGCTACTGAGTTGTTCAGCCTCATTGCGCAAGTCGTAAATTAGGCTAAATTGTACGACTCGACACCAATAGCATTGCCTACTGTCGAGCTGGAATAAGGCCATGGTTACGCCACCAATTTCGATTGGCAATCACCGTGCAATTGTTGTTGTGCACAGCACGGAGTGAGAGAATTTTCGAAATCGAACAGCCAGCACGATTTGCTGGGTCAACCGAACAGCCAGCACGCCAATTTTTCAGGGTGGCAATACGCTATTTTGCGAAAAAGTATTAGTATTAAATATTAGAATAGTATAAAATATTTTTTTATTATTATTGTGAAGTAGATATTAAAAAAAATATTATTATGAAAATTAAATATTAAAGAAAGAAAAAATATTAAGTTGTTCTTCCATTTTTCATTTTCCGACTTCAATTTTGATGCATTTTTAGTTGCATTTTTACTTCAGTGCTGCCATTGTGTGCGAAATTGTATGAAATGGAAAAAGGCATTTCTTAAGAAGCAACTCTGTGCTCGCTAATCAGCAAACAGAGCGTAACCACTTCTCACCAATCACCGAAATTTTTCGCTTTTGATTGCCAATTAAAATTGGTGGATAACCACGGCCTATGTAAAGCCGTGGTTATGCTACCAAATTCGATTGGCAATCACCGTGCAATTGTTGTTGTGCACAGTGTTGCCAGGTTGGCCATTTGGTCGTCATTTTGAAGATTTTTTACTGCCATGAAGCTAGATTAAAAATAATAAAAATAAAGAGCTTCATTTTTTCTATTTGATAAAATTTTTAATAATATAAACATATTATGCTGACGATTTTTAGATGCAAGTGATGATTTTTGATAACCAAATTGACGATTTCTCCCTTTAATGACCTGGCAACACTGGTTGTGCACAGCACGGAGTGAGAGAATTTTCGAACTCGAACAGCCAGTACGATTTGCTGGGTGAACCGAACAGCCAGCACGC